AAACAGTGCTGAATTTAAAAGAACACTGTGAAGAGGAATCTCCCTTGTCTTTCCAAGTCCCTTGAATGAGTGTCCACTATTACCCCATCTATTCAACATTGTACTGGAGGTCCTAAACAGTGCAATAAGGCAAGAAAAAGAAATAAAAGGTTTAAAAACTGGACAGCAACAAGTAAAACTATATTTATTTGTAGATGACAGGATTATATAGAAGAAAATGAACAAATTATTAGAATTAAAAATAAACTTAGGGCTTCCCTGGTGGCGCAGTGGTTGAGAATCTGCCTGCCAATGCAGGGGACATAGGTTCAAGCCCTGGTCCGGGAAGATCCCACATGACGTGGAGCAACAAGGCCCACATGCCACAACTACTGAAGCCCACATGCCTAGAGCCCATGCTCCGCAACAAGAGAAGCCACCACTATAAGAAGCCCACGCACCACAGCGAAGAGTAGCCCCCGCTCATTGCAACTAGAGAAAGCCCAATGCAACAGAGACGAAGACCCAATGCAGCCAAAAATAAATAAATAAATAGATAGATAGATAAATAAATTCATCAAAGTCACCAGCTATAAGGTCAATATACAAAAATCAATCATATTTCTATATACAACAAAAAAATTGAAAATGAAAAATATTTAAACACCATTTATAATAGTATCGAAAATATAAATACCTAAGAATAATTCTAACAACAACAAAATGTGCCCAATCTCTATGCTGAAAACTGTAAAACATTTCTGGGAGAGAAATTAAAGAAGAACTAAATAAACAGATATTCCAACATAAATGAGGGAGAGTAATCTATATAGTAATAACATTTCTATATTCTACTTAAAGTGATAAAATATTAGTTCTAATTAGACTGTGAAATATTAAGTATGTACATTATAATCCCTAGAGCAATCACTAAAAACATATACAAAGAGATATAATTTTAAAACTCAATAGAAAATTAAAATGAAATACTAAAAAATATTCAAATAATCTAAAACAAGACAGAAAGGGGAAATAAAGGAAAGAAAAACAGAGAGAACAAACAGAAAAGAAATAACAAAATGTTAAAACAACCTAAATCCAGACATATCAATAACTACACAATTAAATGCAAATGATCAAAACCACAGGTCAGCAAACTTTTTCTATCAAGTGCCAAATAGTAAATATTTGAGGACTTCTCAGCTATATAGTCCCTGTTATAACTACTCAGCTCTGCTCTTGTAGGGGAAAAGCAACCATAGAAAAGATTTAATCAAATGAACATGGCTGTGTCTCAATAAAACTTTATTTACAAAAACAGGCAACTGGCAAGATTTGACCCACAGGCATAGTTTGCTGGCCCCTGGTCTAAACACATCAATAAAAAGATAAGAAATTTTCAAAGTGGATTAAAAAACAAGACCAAACTATATGCTGTCTATAAAACAAAACAAAACTACACATACACACATCCTGTCTTAAATAATAAAAGGATGGAAGGAAATGTACTGTTTAAATACTAACCAAGAGAAAGCTGGCGTGGCTAGGTTGATATCACAAAGTGGACTTCAGAGCAAGAAAAATTACCAGGGATAAAGAGGGACATTTTGTTGAAAGACAATTCTCCAAAGGCTCTAACATTGTCAACATATTGTGAGCAGAGGCAATGACTGTCTTGGATCTGGAGTATCTTTTCAAGGATGTTGTATAGTCAGCAGCGCTGGAAATAGAAATGGCCCTTCCCTCCTTAGCAAGGGGCTGGTTTGTTTTCATTCTAGTAGAATAAGGATAATGTCTCCCTTTGGATCAAAGGTCAGGAAAGTCTGCTGCCCATTATGAGATTTGGGTGCCCTAATCTCAGGGATCCTCTGCTGTGATGCAACCCACTGCATGTACAGGTGCCATCTGGTCCCCTTTGCATCATCCAGTGGGAAATGGGGCTCAAGGCAGTAGTGCACATGCTGAAACTGTGGCTACTGCTTTAGTGGCCAATAAAGGCCTGTGACATTGACCTGGGAGCCTGTGTCTTCTGTCAGTACCCATAAAACTGTGGCAGGATAGCTTGTTAGTTTGCAAGGAGGGTAAAACCTCAGACCCTTCACTGTTCTTACAAATGATAAAAAGGGTCACCATGATAACACAGCCGTTCTAAACGTGTATGCACCTAACAACAGAGCTTCAAGATGCCTGCAGCAAAAAAGTGATAACACTGAAAGGAGAAACGGACAAATCCACAATTACAGGTGGAAAGTTCAACACTCCTCTCTCAGTAATCACTAGAACAAATAGAGAATTAGCAAGGATACAGAACTGAAGAACACCGTTAACCAAATAACCTGATTGATATTTCTAGACTATTTCACCAAATACATTTTTCCCGAAGAACATTCATCAAAAGAGACCATACCCAGGTCATAGAACAAAATTTGATAAATTTAAAAGAAGTAAAATCATATAAAATATGTCCTATGACCATAATGGAATTCAGAAATCAATAAGAAAAAGATAACTGGAAAGGGCGGGGAAACTAAGCCCACAGCCTGCAAGTAGAGAGAAGCCGGCACGTCACAACGAAGACCCAGCGCAGCCAAAAATAAATAAATAAATAAATAAATAACCCAACAACCCTCTTGCATGTATTTAATCTAGAAAAATGAAAACGTATCTTTACATAAGAACCTGTACACAAATGTTTACAGCAGCACTAATTATAATTGTTAAAAAGTGGAAACAACCCAAATTTTCTTCAACCAGTGAAAAAACAGTGGTACCTGCAACAACACAGATGAATCTCCCAGGCGTGACACTGAGTGAAAGAAGCCAGACCCAAAAGGCTACCCATTATATGATTCTATTTATATAACATTCTGGAAAAGGCAAAACTATAGCCACAAAGAACAGATTAGTGGTTCCCAGAGGTTACAAGCGGGGCAAGGATATGACTACAAAAGGGCAGCACAGGGAGTTCTGGTGTGATGCAACTGTTCCCAATCCAGATTATGGTGGTTACACCCTACATGTGTCAAGTCCCGTAGCACTGTAATTTTTTTTTTAATTTAAAAAACTCAATGTTATTGTATGTTCACTTTAAAAACAAAATAAAATAAAGACACCATAAGAAACTTAACAGGCAAGACACAGACTGGTAGACTATATTCATGATACATGTGCCTAATAAAAGACTTATATCCAGAAAATATAAAACATTCCCAGAAATTGTAGGGAAAAGACAGACGAACCCATTAAAAAATAGAAGATCTGAACAATCATTTCACAAAAATAAGTAACCTAAAAGGTCAGTAAGTTAGTAAAGGGGCTCAACATCATTATCCATTAGAGAAAAACAAATGAAAGCCACAAGGAGATCTTGCTACATACCAAGAAATTGTTTTAAAAACTGTTAATGCCGGGGCTTCCCTGGTGGCGCAGTGGTTGAGAGTCCACCTGCCGATGCAGGGGACACGGGTTCGTGCCCCGGTCCGGGAGGATCCCACATGCCGCGGAGCGGCTGGGCCTGTGAGCCATGGCCGCTGAGCCTGCGCGTCCGGAGCCTGTGCTCTGCAACGGGAGAGGCCGCAACAGTGAGAGGCCCACGTACCGAAAAAAAAAAAAAAAAAAACTTGTTAATGCCAACGGTTGGCAATGATGTGAAGTAACTAACTTTCATATATCAATTCAACTTTGGGGGGGAAACTGCTAAGCAGTGTCTATTAAAACTAAACATATACTTATCCTATGACATAAAATGTCCCCTCATCTGTATAAACCCAAGATTGTGTGCATGTACTCACCAAAAGACCATATGAATGTTCACAGCACCTTCATTCCTAATAACTGAAAACTGAAAACCAAAATGCCTGTCAATGGTGGAACGGATAAATTAATTGTTGTATATTTCATACAATAGGATACTACCCAGTAGTAAACAAACTACTGATGTACGTATATACCATGGATGAATCTTACAGGTATTATGTTGGGTGAAAGAAACCAGATGGGAGAAGGCATACTATTTGGCTGCAATCATATGAAGTTTAAGAACAGGCGAAATTAATACACAGCAATAGAAGCCAGAACACTGGTGACCTCTGGGGTGATAAGTATTAACTGGGAAGGAGCAGGTGGACACCTGGGGTGATGAAAACATCCTGTATCTTGATCTGGGAGCTGATTACATGTGTAAAAGTTCACCCAGCTGTTCTCTTAAGATCTGTGCAGTGTATTATGTGAAAGTTATACCTCAATTTAAAAAAAGGGAAGAAAGATGAGGAATGAAGGAGGAAAGAAAGAAAATGAAGGAGAGAATGAAAGGAAGGAAGGGAGAGAGGGAGGGAAGAAAACGAGACAGAGATGAATATGATCTCCAGGGGAGCTCCTCAAAAATACGTTATTGGGTAGGTACTGTTGTCTGCATCTTAAAGACGCGACCACGCCGAGGTTTGCTGATGTGTTCAGTGTTCAGTGTCACAGAGCGGGTGTGTGACGCGAGCAGAGGCTGGAACCCCGTGTGCACGACGCCAAAGCCTTTGTTTTTCCACCTACTATCTCAAGTCACCTCCTCCTAGAAAGGTGACCCCAAGAAATGCCTCCCTGAATTGATCATTTCTTGGTGGGAAGGATGTCTATCTTACATCCTTTTCAAATAGGAAAGCAGTTAGAGGAGTGTAGCGCTGAGTTCTGTTGAAGCGGAGCCCATCAGCGCCGCGTCACTCACACAGAAACGCAGATTCCGCGGCTGATGACGAGCCGCAGCGGACCACCCTCCCCGCCTACGACAGGCGGAAGCAGGCGCGCGAGGGCCCGGCCCTCGCCGCCCCTCCCCGCAGGTGGTCGGGCCTGGCAGCTCACCTGCGAGCGCGCCGCTGTGAGTTGGCGGCTCAGGCCCGCACGCATTTATAAGGCGCTATTTTGGTCGCGCGTCCTGATTGGCCGGCCGCAGCTGAGGACACGCTCGCGCGCGCCGCGGGACGAGGCGGGGCCAAAACCCGGGGGAGGAGCGCTTCCGGCGGCCTAGAGGTCTGGCGAGGCCGGGGGCTGCGGCGCGCGGGGCTGCCGACCTTCCCCGAGGGCGATCTGGGGCCGCTGTGGCCGCTCGGCAGTCTGTCGGTTGGGTGACATTTTAACGAAAGAGCCTGTGTCAGCGAAAAGGGGCTGCTAAGAATCAACTGATTCACGCGTTTGGAGGGAGTTGACAGAAGCCCTGACACTCACAAGCCACATGGCGGGAACTGCGAGAACCTTAGCAGACGCGAGCTCGAAGCCGCTCGAGTGTCAGTTCCTGTGTGTACAAGCGCTTGCCAGCTCGCTCTGCAGACCTGTCTTTCTGTCATTCTTACCTCGCCCTTTGCTAAACCAGCCCTCTGCGGCCGCCAGCCCTCTGAGGCCGTCATCCGACTGCGGCCGGGCCTCCATTCCTCTCTTACCTCGGTGCTGTCATTTACCCTTTTCTGAAGCAAGAGGAACAAAACGCTCCCTGGACGTCTCAGGAGGATCTCATTTCCACCACATTCCCCTATCGTGGTCAGAGCCACGTCTGGCCGTCCCTGCTTTCTGGCTGTCCATCAATCAGGTGGTATTACTTCTCTGAGTTTCAAGGTTTTTTCTTTTGGTGACAGAGGCTGGTTTGAGCTTCTTTGGTGAAAGTTACTAAATAACTACAGAGTGTGATTCACGGAAAATCCTATCGTGCTTAAAATAAGCAAAAAGGACCATCTGAAGTCACCACTAGCTATTGGATGGGAACTTAGCTTGAAAGGGATTCTGTTTAGGAGTTCTGTTACCTCATTAGAATCACAAATATTACCTCTGGTTGCAAAACCCTTAAAGGCCTTTGAGATTTCCTGAACTCACAGCCTTGAAAATCATTTGCATTTAGATATGTAGAAAGAATATAACTTAGTAACTATTGAACACATCAATAAAAATTATCATTCATTATCTTTTTTTAATTGGGCTTTCTCTAGTTGTGGCGGGCGAGCGGGGGCTACTCATCGTTACGGTGCGCGGGCTTCTCATGGCGGTGGCTTCTCTTGTTGCCGAGCACAGACTCTAGGAACGCGAGCCCAGTAGTTGTGGCTCGTGGGCTCTAGAGCTCAGGCTCAGTAGTTGTGGCACACAGGCTCAGTAGTTGTGGCACACGGGCTTAGTTGCTCCACGGCATGTGGGATCTTCCGGGACCAGGGCTCAAACCCACGTTCCCTGCATTGACAGGCAGATTCTTAACCACTGTACCACCAGGGAAGTCCCTCATTAAGTATTTTCAATAAGCCATGCATTGTAAATGCTTAACAGGCATTTCTCTTAATGCTTACAAAATCCCCATGACTTAGATACCATTATTCCTCCCATTTTACAGAAAGGGAAAGTAAGGCCAGAGGGATTGAATAATTTGACTGAAGTCACGTATTAATCTGGTGTCAGTGCTGGGATTTATACCCACGGTGGTCTGATTCCAATGTTTGTGCCCTTAAGTACTAAGCTCTGTAGTTTCTTTTTTCCTTGTCTTATCTGATTAGGAATTCAGTCTTGTCTGGCACAAAAGGAGTTGAGGTCAGTCAGTAAGTGCTGTAACTTCTCAGGAAGATGTCCTGCTGCTGGCTTAAGAAAAGGATTGCTAGGAAGGGAAAATAATGGTGCCAGGGGTCTTAACATTCTCTGCTTCCCCTGAACAACAGACCGTATTCAACCTGGAGTACAAAGTTTTGGAAAAGATTTTGAATTCTGTTGTGCCCCTTGATATGCAGACTGGACTGTTTACAAAGTGGCCTCACTTAGATCCACTTGGTTGGTTAGGAGCCAAGAAGCAAACTGGTCTTAACAGTGACTTTCAAACATTTCTCTACCCATTCCCCCACATAGCTACCAAAACCACCTGATGGAAGTTAAAAATGCAAGACACGCAGTGGCTCCAAGGCTCCAAATCCCCAGCCCACCACCCTCCTTCTCTGTCTGATGTTGTGTGCGTTTCCAAACTTCTCTGAAACTCATTTTTCTTACCTGCTGCAAGGATTAACTGAGATCTGTGAAGTTCCTGGATTAGTGTGTGGTGTATATAGATACTAGGAGTTTGTGCTCTTTCTTGCCCTTTTCCTTGACTGTTTAAGAAGGAAAACACCTAGTTGTGGTGATTAGCCCTTTATTTCTTTTACAGAGCTACATTGACAGTACTAAATTTCATAGTCAAGTAATAATTTACATTAAGACCATTTATTATCATCTATAACTTTAAAAATTCTTATTGAAATTTCAGCAACATCATTTCCAAATAGCAGCTTCAGCTTTCTTTGTGTCTGTCATTCATTTAACAGATAGTCACTAAAAATCTATTAGGTGTAAGACATGGTTACTCTTTAATAGAGCTTTCTGAAAACATTTCAACAAAATAGCCTGTTCACAAGTAGGCATTAGGGAAATAGACTGCATTTTATGGTAATAATAGCTTGTTCTTTCTTACTGGGCCTAAGCTTCAACTCTGAACTTAACTCTCATTGAAAATTATTTGGTCTGACAAGAAAAAAAAGAAAAACAAACATAAAAAACTAAGAACAGGAACAACTAGGCATTAACAAAAATTAAAGGCATGTTTAAAAAATATATAATGCAGAGGATGCTTCCCCTTAAAAGCCAATTCATTTTTGTTGATTGATCTTGCATAATCAATTAACAGATCGTTTTCATCACTGCTAATCAGGCAAAGAGACGCTTTTAAGTCTTCTTTTCAAGTATAAAGTTATAAAATATGCTGTGTTCGTGCGTGTGTTGCACAGCGAGGTGGCAGTGGATATTACTACAAAAATGCAAACTTCACGAACCATTACACATCCAAATAAGTTTTAAGTAAACTGAGCCTCCAGAAACTTGCAAGGCATTACGTTTAACTAAATGGTTTGAATTTAAGTGGAGCTACTTTTTCCTAATTCAAAAGTGTGTGTATTAGGCAATAGGCAACACGTACTTGATACAAAAATACCTGTTTGGATTATTTGATTCAGTCAAATGAGCAGCCAATTCAGTTGAAAAGAAATGAGACAAATCCACTTTTTTCGGCCACTTTAACCTATACTTTTAGACTTAGAAGTCTTTAATAGAATTTGTGTCTTAGGGGTGAGAAATTAACATACAATTATATATGATATGAGAAATTAATATATACCATAATATACAAGATCAGCTATTGAAAGTAACTAAGTTATTAACTACAAAAGTGTAGTAATATGAACTGAGCATGTAGTGTAATGGATGCCGAATGCCAATATTGCTTAGTATAATGGTTTTGATTCATCCTTTTAACTCCTTTCATTGCCAGCAAGAGTAATTTAGGGTGTGATTGGCTCAGATTACTTTTTTGCTCCAATAAAGGGCTCCTTTTGAAAACCTGCCTGTCACTCTTTACTGTTGCCCCAATACAACATCTTCTGTTGACAAAACTGAGAAACCAAACAGTAGCAGGTAATGGAAGTGCCCTCTACTATTGCAAAGCAAGCGAACATAGCCTCCACCCCGGAATCTCACCCAACGAGAATCTACATTTTAAATGGCCCTTCTGAAGCATGCGTGCATGCATTCATTCATTCATTCATTCATTCAACAAATAACTCTGGGTCTCTTTTTACATCCCAAGCATACAAATAAATATGAAAGTCATGGTAACTGCTATAACTGGCTTGCAGTCTAGAGGAGGTGAGAGATGAACAAGCAAATAACGCAGCTGAGAACTCATTTCTACCACAGAAGAATTTAAATATGTGTGCAAGGGCATAGAATTGGAGAAAGCTACAGAGACTGTAGGCAACACCAAGCTCAAGGGCTCAGGCTGTGGGAGTATTAGGAGATGAAGACAGTCAGAACACAACAGCCTGAGATCCACACTAACGCATTTGATCACCAAACTGCAGGTTGTGTGGAGTCCAGAGGAATTAAGAGGGTGTCAGAAAAGCTGCTTCCTGAAGTCTGCAGACTGGCTGTCCGTGCTCTACCAAGGGAAGAAAAATGGAAGACTTGGATCTGGTTTACGGTTCTCCTGAGTGGTGGTATTGCCCAAACACATGCCATGGTAAGGTATTTTACTAGCTCTGCTTTACCCAGGATTAGAACTTCAGCTGAACTTGTGGGTTTTTAGGGAAATTATTTTGCCAGACATCAGTCCTTGTTCTCTGACGGTAAACAAATGGTTCCAGCAGCCTGGGGGATAATTGTCACATTTAATACACACAGTATTATAATATGTTTAGACTTGGACTTTTGTCTAAAAACTGCAAGTTTAAGGATTTTTACTGACATTGCTCACTTTACTGTGAAACACATGATAAGCCTCTTTGCTTTACTTGGGAGTTTATAGTAATGGCTCGTTCAAGGTCCTAGCCAGTTTGCATTACAGAATGCCACAGTCACTAAAGGGACACATTTTAACACAAGCACAATCGAGAAGATGAAGATTGAGTGTTCCTGCCGAAGGAATCAGTAGAGCACAAGAAGTGCACACGGTGGCATGAACACCTGAAGATCAGTTCAGAGGTACATCTGAGCTAGGAAAGGTGCTGGATACTGACTCTAAAGGCTGTGTTTAAAAACTGCGTAACCCAAATTTCGTTACGCAGTCTTTATGAATGAAGTACAGAAATGAAATACAGAAATATGAAAGTCATGGTAACTTTGAAATACAGAAATGTTCCTCGCCATTCACTGTGTCTTGCACTGGGCAATCTTGATTATTCCCTTGACAGTAAGACTAGGGAATTATACCAGGTGAATCTGGGCAGGATGGTTCATGATGGTAGCATTTTACAGCAGGAATCCTAAAAATGCCTGGAATGCAAGATAAACCCTTCTCTGGCTAACATCAGCAATCATCAGATACCTTCCCATGGTCCTTGGTCACAAGCCCCTTCTTCAAAGCTCACTTCAGATGACAGAGATCACTGGCTGAAACATTGTGGTGATTGCTGTGGGAATCTTGACTAAAGGGAGCTAGCTAGCTAGATAGCTAGCTAGATAGCTAGATAGCTAGCTAGGGCAGCTTCACCAGGTGCATGAAAAGACTTTTAGGAAGGAGCTGTTTCACACCACTAGGGATAGGCTGTCAAGATGGGCAGACTTTGAAAAAGCCTGATGTCTAGCCATTTCCTAGGCATTCTCCAAAAACTGGAAGTTTCCAAGGAAGAGCCAGTGGCATACATTCTAGAACTGGCTGCGTAACAACTCACTTGCCAGTAGAAGTGTAACTTTGAGAAACATGCTGGTGCCTGCAGCCCCAAGGGTCTGAAGCTCTGCTGGCCAAAGACCAAGGACAAGACTCAAAATAGGCTCCAGCTCCAGTTCTGGCTCCAGCTCAGGCCTCCTAAAGGCGGCTACGCACCATAAAGGTCTCCATGTGCCATGTGAGGAAAGAAGGACTGGTGTCTTCCTGGGCTGCTGCCTGCATGAGGCTGGCGTCCTCCTGTGCTATTTGTACAAATAAACCTGAGGCAGGAGCTGTCCAAAAAGATTAATGTCGTTGATAATGGGACAAAGAAAATTATGTGTCACCTGATAGGATGCAGTAAGAACATGAAGCACTTCTGTGAAATTCCTACCCAAAATGCCCAATCTGAATCTAATTATGAGGACATATCAGACACACACAAATCGAGGAACATTCTACAAATCAACTGACCTATAACCTTCACAATGTCAGTGTTTTGAGAGACAAGGAAGGACATATCAACCATTCCAGACTGAAGGAGATTAAAGAAATTTGACATCTAAATGAAGTGCCTAATCCCGGATCGTATCATTTGTCTCTAAGGAATGCCATTTGGATAAATGGTGAAGCTTGAATGGAGTTGGTAGTAGTTGTAATGTTCCAGCGTTGATTTCCTGGTCTTGATGGCTACGTTGTGGTTATGTAGAAGACTGTCCTTGTTTGTAGACCATCTGCAGTAAAGTTTTTAGGGGTAAGAGGAAATCATGCCTGCAACTTACTCTCAAATTGTTCAAGAATTAACAAGATCTTTGAATTATTCTTGCAACATTTTTGTATTTTTGAAAAAAAATTTTTAATTTATTTACCTTATTTATTTATTTTTGGCTGTGTTGGGTCTTCATTGCTGCATGCAGGCTTTCTCAAGTTGCGGCGAGCAGGGGCTACTCTTTGTTGGGGTGCGCCGGCTTCTCATTGCGGTGGCTTCTCTTGTTGCAGAGCATGGGCTCTAGGAGCACAGGCTTCAGTAGTTGTGGTGCACGGGCTCAGTAGTTGTGGCTCGCAGGCTCTAGAGGGCAGGCTCAATAGTTGTGGCACACGGACTTAGTTGCTCCATGGCATGTGGGATCCTCCCGGAACAGGGCTTGAACCCGTGTCCCCTTGCATTGACAGGAGGATTCTTAACCACTGCGCCACCAGGGAAGCACATATTTTTGAAATGATTAAAACAACACAAAAATCCAAGGACTTCAAGCGTGCTAGGGCTAATACTTTGTATTCTACCATTCGTTCATTTACTACCATTTACTATTATTTACTACTATTCATTCAATTACTACCATTCGTTCATTAAGCATTTAGTAGGCACCCACCAGGTGTGAAGCAGTCTGTCTAGTCGCCCTTGCTGAGCCAATTGTGTCCCACTTAAAAAAAAGGATTCTGAAAAGCTGGGCCTGGCAGCACAAATTTACTATTTATTTATTTCTGGCTGCGTTGGGTCTTCGTTGCTGCACGCGGACTTTCTCTAGTTGAGGTGAGCGGGGGCTACTCTGTCGCGGTGCGCAGGCTTCTCATTGCGGTGGCTTCTCTTGTTGGGGAGCACGGTCTCTAGGTGCGCAGGCTTCAGTAGTCGTGGCGCACGGGCTTAGCTGCTCCGCGGCATGTGGGATCTTCCCGGACCAGGGCTCGAACCCGTGTCCCCCTGCATTAGCAGGCAGACTCCCAACCACTGCACCACCAGGGAAGCCCCCAAATTTACTTTTTGAGATCGAGTGTCTGTTGAAGTCAGAATCTACAGCACAGTGAACACAACCTCTCGTTCTTTCCACTGAAGCATCCTTACAGTTAGGAGCCATCTTGAATCATAAAATGCTTACCTAAATATTGCCAAGGCTCTAATTGCTTACTGTTCAAGATTAATGTCATCTTCAGATTGGAAATACACCCAGGGGCAGGTCCAAGTTTTATTTATGCCCCCCCCAGATAAATAATACAAAATTATGAATTTAAAACTTGGCACAGGACCTTTGCAGGGGACCAGGCAAGTGAGGTGCCTGAAACTCATTATCTACTTTCTCCGTAAATCCACCCCTGACACCACACAAATCAGACCGACCACCCTATTCATGAGAGTCAAGAGGTCACCTTCCTCTGCGGTGGTGTCTTTTAAATCTAGTGAATCAAGATTCTTCTAGGACTTTTGTCTCCAGATAAACCTAAGCTTTGATTTGGGCTGTCGCCTTAGACACCCTCTTGGTATCAACAGGATGACCGAACCCACATGTGAAGGAGACTTGTTCAGTGGAATGCCAGAGTTCTCATGGGTTTGTTCACCAGGGGGGTCATGCTTCGTGCACAGAGGTCATATAATAAGGCCACAGAGAACGACTGTGGACTTTACAGTGTCATTTGTATACATTCTGGAGAATGTCACAAGGCTGTTAAGTAGAGTAACCATTTACTGCAGTATTTTTCTCACCTTTACCACATAGGGAGTCTCACCTACATAATGAAACCTGCCAAGTGCCTGGGCATGTGGTATTGCATAAGATACTACAGACCCTTCTTAACAGGGAATCCCTAAGCCTCGGCCTTATGTGATCCTCCATGACACGTCCCCACCTCCTTTCGATTCTCAGGGTCCCATCATTAGAGCCACCGTGGTCCTCATTTAGCTCCTTACTGCCCACAGGTCAAGGTTTTGACTCCTTGGATGCACACAGGCCCTCACATCAACCTCCACTGTGCCTTTCCAGCCTCCCCTCCCCTTGGCCCCATTCCCTCCTCCACTCCAGCCAACCAGGATGCTCTCCCGAAAGAGGCCACATCCTTTCACACCCACCTCTTTGCCTTCACATCCTTCTCGCAGTGCCCAATGCATCCTTTCACCTCTTCTCCCTCTGGAGCCCTGAAGAAACAGCCTGTCTTAGTCGGCTCAGGCTGCTATAACAAAATACCACAGACTGTGTGGCTTATAAATGATGGAAATGTATTTCTCACAGCTCTGCGGGCTGGAAGCCCAAGGTCAAATGGCAGCATGGTCAGGTTCTGGTGGGAGCCCTCTTCCTGGTTCATAGCTGAGGCTTTCTTGCTGTGTCCTTATGTGGTGGGAGGTCTGAGGAACAGCTCCGGAGCCTCTTTTATAAGGGCACTGATCCCATTCATGAGAGTTCTTGCCTCCCAACCTGAGGACCTCCCAAAGACCCCACCTCCTGATACCATCATCTTTGGGGGTTAGGGCTTCAACATATGAGTTTTGGGGGGACACTTTCAGACCATGGCACAGCCCGAATGTCACCTCCCCTCTCAGAGATAGATTGGGCACAGAGTGTGCTATTCTTTCTTCTACCTTCGTCACCTTCAGTTTAATAATGCATTTTTTGTCAGTTGTCCACAGTGGCCCGGAAACAGCCAGAGGCAGCAGAGGCCACATCTTGCCCATCTCTGTAGACCCAACACCCTCACGCCGCGCCTGGTGTATGTTTGCTACTCGGTTGTTCGGTAAGCTTCAGCTATTAATAATATCAGCAAGTATTCTATTCACTGACTGCTTATTCTCTGCCAGGTTGAACCAATACATACAGCTGCTAAAATGCATGCGACCCGAGGAGCGGGTGGGGCCTCTGGAAGGCCTCCTCCCTCCAGTAAATGAGGGCGAGATGACTGAATTGTCCTCTTGGACTGAGACCTGGGATCCAGAGGTCCACAGGTGGGAGGGCCTCCCAGCTGGCCAACTTTGGTCAGCCAGAGGCCACTGTGGGAGCCTCCCAGGTTAGGGGACATTCTCTGAGGTGGGGCTCCTCAGGAGGGCGGGGCAAGGAGAACAGGCCATAGGTGATAGGGCTCTCCAGCCAGTGCCAGGGAAAAGAGGAGACACAAGAAGTGGCCTTGGGTCTCTTTACCTCTACAGCTGGGAAACATCCTCGCATGTCGGCTAAATCCTTGAAAGAACAGATGAAGGACTGGAGTGGCGTTGATGCACTAATAACGACCGTGTAAAGCCTTCATCGTTTCACTTAAAAATCCGTCTGAGGAAGCTCAAAGCTCAGCCAACTGGCCTTAAAATTGTTCGTTGTGCCCCGTTAAAGAGAAAGGGAAGAGGAAAAAAAAGGCTTGAAAAGTGCCAGAGACTGTGGAAAATAAATCATTGCTGTTAGGTTCTGCCCATTTCATCAACATTCCCTGTTGCTCTTCCAGAGAGGTCTGGCCTAGCTGGAGCTTGACATTGCCTGATACCTTCCATTTATCTCTTGGTTTCTCTCTCAAAGGGAAGTATTTGGGAGAAGTGAACTCCCCACCCTCTGCTGCAAGCGCCTTAGTGACTGCATTCAGCACGGCTCTTGCTGTCGTGGAGGGCTAGAGTATGCGGCCTGGCAGGGCCTGGAGATAACCAGCCTTAGAAAACCTGCCACTAGGACATTCCGATCCTGCATCTGGTTGCACCTTGGGTTCGAACATGCCCAGGTCCACTGCGGCTGAAATAGAGTCCGCTGTATGGTGCCATTTCAAGGTAAGGACAGGCTTGTTTAGAATATGTTAAAGTCACTTTTTCCACCGATAAATTAGTCCTGAGCACCTTGAGTCCTTTCCCCTGTTTATGTCCAGGAGCAGGGACAGCCTCAGTCCTTCCTAGGCCCTGGGATCAAGGCCCTTCTGCCCTCTTGTCAAGACCATGCAATTCTCCCATCCATCCCAGCATCATGGGCTACCCTGCACCCTGAGGGCCACACCTGAAAAGAAGGGGGCTCCTGCTTTAATTGGGAGCCCTCTGTTCTGGGATATGTTGGCCCAAGGCTCAGAAATAAATAGGAGACCTAACACTCTTCTGCTTCAGCTAATAATAATAATAACAATATCAACAAGTATTCTAGCTACAGATTGCTTGTGCTGTGCCAGGCTTTACACTAAGCACTTTATATATCGTCTCGTTCCATCCTCACTCCAGTCCTAGGGGATTGGTGTTACTATCCTCATTTCTCAAACCTACCTAGCCTCCCGGCTACTGAATGGTAGAGTCCAGTTTCCAAGCTCCTAGCCTCTCCAACCCTTCTGCGTCCCCAGGGATATCTGGCAGGCTGATCCTGTCCTTGAACCTGGAGCAGTTGCCGTACACCATGAGGATTCCCCAGGTCACCCACTGCCTTATGGACGATCTGGGGTATTTTTACTCTCCTTCCCATCCAATCTCACCACGGGGGACCCATCTCAATCCCTCATGCTCCAGGAAACCTCCCTGACTCTACCAGGGTCCACTGACCAAGCCCCCTCAAGAGCTCTCTAGTACCCCAAATACTCAAAGTGTGATCCACAGACCAGCAGCCTGGGCACCGACAGGGCGATATGTGGAACCTGAGACCCTATCCCAATCCATGTTTTAACAAGACTCCAGGTGACTCCACTGCATTTAGGCCCTCTGTGATCTATGTCTTCCTCACTTATCAATGGCCTTGTATGGTTGTAGAGCTGTTTCTTAGGTGGCCCCTTTGTCTTTCTGGAGAGATTATAAGTGGAATGTTGGTTTGCCGCAATCACTGGAGGCAGTCTAAATTGGATCGTTGGAACAGAACAGGTAATTTGGGGTCCTTGCCCCCAGAGTGATCATATCGTAAGCCCTGTTGAACGGTGTCTTGTACATCAGTATTATGCCAAGGATCCCAGTGGCCTTTTGGACACCACCTCCCCTTGACTTTTGTTTGGGTCCTGGAGGTACATAAACATTCATTGATTTATGTAGGGGTTTTAGGGTGCTGAGGTTCCTGGAAGAAGTGACACTTTGTTTTTTTTAATGCTGAAAGAACCCAGCCCAACCTCTGGAATTCTCCCCTAGGGCTGTCTCTCTGACCCCACGTCTCAGGTGTCCCAAGTGCCCCAATCCTTACTGCATTCTTGGCAGCCCAGCTACAATGAATCAAAGAGGAAGCCACCTCCTGGGGGCTCTGGAATTTCAAAGCCCTGTTCATGAAAGAGTTCATAGGAATCCTGCGGTTTCTACCAGGCTACCACCAGGTCCCTTGACTCATTGTACTTCTCCAGAGCTGTCACTGCCTCTTAAACAGCTCTCGCTTTTAAAAATCACCTATTTAACATGTGCATCAGTGCTGAGAGAAAAACTATATATATATTTACTTTTTCTCACTTCCTGGGGGAAGGGTGGGACCCGCCGCTGACTACTCTTTAGCAGGTGCTATGACTCACTCTGGGAGTGAGGGCCTTTTAGCAGGGAGGGGAGTGATTTGTGTGTCTTTGGAATGCAGGTATGGGCTGTACTTTCAGGCGTGTTTGCTGATAAAGGATAGTTGTGAGAGGCAAACCTGTTACCTAAAAGCACGTAGTGTGTGTGTGTGTGTGG